TAGTGATGCTGAATACTTAGGCCATTCTATGTCTTCTTTGGAGAAATGTCTATTCAGATGTTTTGTCCATTTTTAATCGGGTTATTTGTCTTTTTGGTCTTGAGTTATAGGAGTTCCTTATATATTTTGGAAATTAACCCCTTATCAGATATATAGTTTGCAAATATATTCTCCCATTTCATGGGTTGCCTTTTCACTCTGCTGATTATTTTCTTTGCTGCACAGAGGCTTTTTAGTATAGTGTAGTCCCACTTGTCTATTTTTGCTTTGGTTGCCTGTACTTTTGATATTCAAGAAATCATTTCCAAGACCAATGTCACGAAGCTTTTCTCCAAATATTTACTTCCAGAAGTTTTACACTTTTAGGCCTTATGTTTAAATCTTTAATCCATTTTGCATTAATTTTTATGTATGGTTTCAGATAAGGGTTCAAATTCTTCTTTTGCATGTGAAAATCCAGTTTTCCCAGCATTGTTGAACAGACTATCTTTTCCTTATTTGATATTCTTGGCACCCTTGTCAAAGACCAGTTGATCACACATGCATGGATTTTTTTCTAGAATATCTATTCCAGTGGTCTATATGCCTTTCTTTATGCCAGTACCATACTGTTTAAATTATGATAGCTTTGTAATATATTTCAAAATCAGGAAGCATGATGCCTCTAGCTTTATTCTTCTTTCTCAAAACTGATTTGGCTGTTTCAGGTCTTTTGTAATTCCACATGAATTTTTGGATTGTGTTTTCTATTTCTGTAAAAAACATAACATTAGGATTTTGATGGGAATTGCACTGAATCTATAGATCACTTGTGGTAGAATGTACATTTTATTAATACCAAGTCTTCCAATCAATGAACATGGGATGTCTTCTCATTTGTGTCTTTAATTTTTTCATCAGTATTTTATAGTTGTCATTATGTAAGTCTTTCATCTTCTTAGTTAAGTTTATTTCTAGATATTGCATTCTTTTTGATGTTATTGAAAATGGGATTGTTTTTCTAATTTCCTTTTCCAATAGTTTGTTGTTTATCCAAAAGAATGGAAATCAGGAACTGGAACAGGTATCTGCTCTTTCATGTTCATTGTGGCACTATTTATAGTAGTCAATCAAGATGTGGAAAAAACCTAAAAGTCTACAGACAACAGATGAATAAAGAAAATGTATATCTATACAGTAGAATATTATTCATCTTAAAAAAGAAAAAAGTTCTGCAATGTGAGACAACATGGATAAACCTTGAGGACGTTATGCAAAGTGAAATAAGCACAAAAGGACAAATATTGCATGTTTCCACTTATATGAGGTATCTACGGTAGGCAAACTCATTGAACAAAGAGTGGAATGGTGGTTACCAGGGGCTGAGGAAGTGAGAATGGGTGCTATTAATCAATGAACTTCACATTTCAATCAAGCAGGATGAGTAGGTTCTAGACATCTGCTGTACAACATTGTACCTATTGTTAATGATATCATATTGTACAATTAAAATCTGTTAAGAGGGTAGATGTTGTGTTAATTTTGTTCTTGAAATAAAATTTAAAATAAATAGAACATGAAATCTTATATTTTAAAATCTTTCAAATCAGTAAGAATTAAAACATATGTTAATTTACAATTTACTGTTTCAAAACATATGGGATAATTACAAAAGTAAGAAATCAAACTTATGCACCTATGAGAATTACATCATTTATGTCATTTCACTTTGAGAATAATGATGCAAAGTCTAACCAGCATCTTCCAATTAAGGCCTGGCATTTTCTGTAGGTTAGTGCCTTTGGGTATCTTGCCTTTTGATTCCATAAATGTTAGTAGTAGTTTTTCTTATTTTGTTAAAGACAGCACTAAAGAATCCTGAATACTCACTACCAATTAGCAACAGGTTCCTAACTGAAGAAAATACCACACTCGACCATATCTCACTAGAAAGGGCAGGGGATGGGCAGCTGCGGTGATGGCAGGAACGTCTGTGCTGATGTCTGTGGGGAGCCCTTCTCCATCAGTGAAATGGACTCAGCTGCTGGCACAACTTAATTTAATCCACATTTATAATACCTCAAAGTTGTTTTAGATGCCACATGACAAGATTATAAAGTAGACATATTGTCACTTTACAGTCAAATAGTTTACAAAATTAATTCACTCTTATTTCATAAATAATGCACATCATTCATTCCAGATAAAGTCTGTCCTTGCTCAGCACGTGCTGGGCTGTGGGTGGTTTCTCCTCACTCCTGGGCCCTTCCATGGGCCTCCTACCCAGGACACTGCCTCTCTTAACCTTCTGCATAACTGACAGTCCTACAGCAGGCTGATGCAGGGCTCTCTATTCAGAGTTGTCTCTGGCAAATCCCATAGTTTATAATTTGAGGACTTTAACACTGCTTCAGTCTCCAGAAAATGTTAAACTATTTTATATTTAGATATTAAAATTTATATGATGTGCAAAAACATGTATCCTGTTAGTTGTGCCACTTTCATGAAGTAACATTGTCCAATGGGACTAAGTACTAATGTGATGCTGTAGAAATAGTGATTCTATAAATTTTAACCGAGAAATCACAACTTAAATTGGATTAATTTGAATATATTTACATAATTGTTCATATATATTTATAATATTTATAATTTATAACAGCTTATATATTTATATTGATTGCATTCATATTTACATCAAATATACTAACACAGTTTCAAACTATATTTTGATTTGATTGGTATTTTACCTCTTTGCATATATAAAAACAAAAAGATTTATTATGTCAATAAAATAAATAATGTATCTACTGGCTAGAACTATAGTGGGACAGAAATACTTGCATAGAAAGTGAAGAAGAATAGTAATAGAAGGTGTTTCAGAATGAATGACTTCAAGCATTGTTCTCAGAAAGAGCCTGTGCAGAGGTGAAGGTTGCAGTGAGACAAGATTGCAGCACTGCACTCCAGCCTGGGCAACAGAGCAAGACTCCGTCAAAAAAGAAGGAAGGACGGAAGGAAGGAAGGGAGGGAGGGAGGGGCCTGGGCATATATCACACCTTCAGATGCATGTAAGCAACAGACTGACCTGCCTGCAATGTTCTCTGCAATATTTTTGTCTCACTGTGGCTATCTTGTAAAATTAAGACATTCTACATTAAGCATTTTTTCAAAAGTACACAAAATATTATCAAAGAATACAAAATTATGTAGATCTTTAAAATATAAGAATGTTTAAAATAGAATATGAATTCCTTAGGATTGACGTTTTAGTTACTAAATCTGTTGCTGAATGCTGAAGTGTATACATGAATTTACTGTCTATTAGTAAAGGGTCTTTAAAAAATGAAAGTGTAACTTGATTACCTGTAAATAAAAAAAAAATTTAAAGGAGAGTGCCATTTAAAGTAAATATTTATGAATTAATGAAAATTAAGAAAATGATTTATACAGTTTTACAAACTGATGAGTTAAATAATCAGTAAATAATCTTGACTCAATCAACCACAAACTAAAGACTATTACAATATTCCCACTATATAGAGATGACTAATGAAAAAAATTACAGCAAAAATACACAAAACCAAGACACTATAGTTCACAATGAGGTTTCAGGAAAAGGGAAAAATGTAAATGCTACATACATATTTTGCTCCTGAAATTCTGATCCAGATAGCAAAGAAATGAATGTTAATCACATAAAAGGAAACTCCTATCAGTATAATATAGACGAAGTGATACAGTGAACAAAAGAAGAACATGGTTACCAGAAAACAGTGATACTTACTGGAGAAAACCACATGACTTTAAGAATCCAAATTGTAAGAGCTAAATTCACAACGAGGATGATGAGTAAAAGAAGAACAAACAAGTAGAGGCAGCGCTTTCTCCAGCCATAAATGCCAATTTTGTAGACATACGGATTCTCTGGCCTCTCTATGTGGGTGCCTTCTGTGGCTGTAGTGTACTGCTCACGCACCATCTGCCACGGGTGTGTTCATGAGAGGAGAGAGAAAGAGACAGAGAGGGAATGAGGGAGTCAACTTGTTTGTTAATACTGATTTACTATGAGCCTGAAAACGTATTTTTCATCCCAGTCATAAATTTCCAAAATTAATGATTTTTTAAAGAGATAATTAAATATTATTCTGAAACATGTCACTGTGTTTCAATCACAGGGAGATATTTAATCTGTCATTTAGAATATTTTATGTATGATAAACATTTGAAATCTAGTGACCATATTTTCAGATGTTAATAACTTCAGATGTTAATAAATTCTCTGTATCTATCAAAGTTCTTCAGGGTTAAACTTGGAATTGAAGCATTAACCTAAAATAATCAA